CTGAACTACCTGGCACCTTAGTTTGACCTCCCTTCTCTCTTTCCCCCTTTTCTGTCCCACATTTCTGCATAGCTCTAGCACTGGAAAGGAGGTGATTACACTTCAGTGAATCAGGAAGGGCTCTGAGCCAAGTGACTCAGAGGAATGTTCCTTTAGCAACGCTTCAGACACTGTCTCACATGACATTCTCAACGCAAGCTTGGTCTAAATAAACAGATTGGAAGGTGGGTGCAAAAAAAGTACGTGGAAAACCATACGTGCAGAGTAACAATCAATGGGCTCTGTCGAATTGGAAGGATGTATCAAGTCAGGTTGTGCAAAGGTCTGTACAGTGTTTAGTACTAGCCATTGTTTTTGTTAACAAGCTGGATGATGTATACTTATTTAATGTGCAAACTATACCCAGGTGGAAGGGTTCTGCTCCATGGAGGACAGAATTAATATTCAAACCAATCTTAACAAATTGCGAAAATGCTCTGAGCTAAACAGGATGCAATTCAATATGGAAAAATGCAAAATAATTCACTAAGGTAAGAATAATCAATCACACAAATAAAAGACAGGGAATGACTGACAAGGCAGCAGTATGCAGAAAAACATCTGGAAGGGACAGTGGTTACAGTTGGTCAGAAATGTCATGCTGGGATGCATAAACAGGAGTACTGTATTTAAGAGAGGTGAAGTAACCCATCCACGGTACTCAGCACTAGCAATGTCCCGAGAATGATGTGGACCAATCACAGAGACTCCACAGGAGACCACTAAAACGGATTAGCGATCTAAAAAACTTGAACTATGAGGATTTCATAGACATTCGGGCTGGAAGGGACCCTGGAGAATCATCGAGTCCAGCCCCAATGAAAAATGGAAAGAATGTGATATTTTAGTCTAGAGAAGACTGAGGGGAGAAATGAAAGCAGTCTTCAAATATGTGAAAAGGTTGCTACAAAGAAGGTAATAAATTGTTCTCTGTGTCCACTGGGGATAAGATAAGTAGTAATCCTTTCTAAGTGTATGGATAATTAAGGAATTAAAGAGATCGTCAAAGGAGGTTGTGAAATTTCCATCACTGGGAGTTTTTAAGAACAGGTTAGACAAACATCTGTCAGGTATAATTGAGGCATCGCTGATTTTGCCTTTGGGAAGGGGGATGGTCTGGATGACCTCTCAAGGTCCCCTCCAGCTTTATTTTCTATGATTTATTAAGATAGGAGCTTGCCAAAGCCTTGAGCTTTTCTCTACAAGGGCTTGCTATGTTAATGTGGCGATCACAGAAAGAGCTGCAACCTAAATCCTTTTCTCTCCTTCCCACCAGGAACAGTGCCCATAAATCTCTCCAAGCAAGGCAGGCTAAAGCCTCTCTTGAGTTTGAGACAGTACACGCCTGTATAGACACCTTGTATGTCACATCTGTCTGGAAGAACAGAACATCTGGGTACCTTTGTATTTAATTTGCAAACAGAAGCCCATATATGAAGTCTTTCTCATGACATGCGCAACATTGTCATGTATAGCATCACGCCTATATGTTCGAATATACATTTTGTAAATAAGAAACAGCATTAGCTCAAATTTGATCCCCAAATGTAATGGAAAAATGAGAGCGAGCCTGCAAATGTTTATTCACGTGAATGGCTTTAACTCAATGGAGTGACTTGAGGAGGAGGGACAGGAGGAAGCAAGGCTTCTTACCATCTGCACCCCAAGCTTTCCAGGACTGAGTTAATATATGAGAAGCCAACAGTGAAATGGACTATAAATTAAAGGTAGCACAATTGGAACTGACCAGTCCAATTTCCAGTGCAAAAAAGTGAACAAACTACACAGAGTGAAAAATGGAAAATTTTAAAATCCTTTCAGTATTAATAAGCTGAAGTGTCCTTTGTCCTAGGTAAGGAAACACATGTTTTAAAGTGAAATTTGTCTGAAGAGACTACTCAAAGGGCTGAGAAAACTAGGCAGCTTAATGAATGTGGCCTTCTAGCAAAAGGTAAGACAAAGTATACTCAATGGGTCTGACAAAAAATATGATGTGTTTCTTGATACAGGAGGTTTCCCAATAATGATAATCTCCAGAACAGGTTTCACTCTTGTTTTAACAATTTGGCTGTGACCTTTGGAAAAGTATTCTTTGATCTTAGGTTTGCTTGGAGAGGGCCAGACCTTAGCTCTGACCAACAGGCTGCTGGCTGCTTGCCTCCATCTTAGCATCTGCATACATTTCCAATACATCCAGAAAAGTGCATAGCCATTATCAAATAGCGTGAGTGTTGCAGCTTCAAGGGAGTCAACTGGATGCGGGTACTTTTCAAAGCAACCTTCTTACTGCTGCAAATGAACTGCCTTGATCAGATCAATGCACGGCCTAAAACTTGTCACCTAAGTCAAATAAGTTACTAAAAATAATGGGAAATTAGCCTAGGCAGAGAGAGTGGAGGAGAGGGACATGGGTAGATGCACCAATTGACCCTTTTTTTCCTCCACAGACCAATAGTTCAAATCCTGGATTAGGCACTAGCTCCCCAAACTTCAGCAAAACCCTACCCCACTGATCTTTATATACCACTATGTATATCAAGATAAGGAGAGGAAGAAAGTTGAGATAAAAAAGGAGGTGCTGCAGCTCAAGAATAAGATAAGATGTAGTGCTTGTTACTCAAGTTGCAGTTTACCACTGATGGATCCATTCTCTCTCTTTTTAAGACTAGACGAACATGCCCAAAGCAAGCACACTGAGGTAGCTACATGAATGCAAATCCCTGCCGGACAAAACAGGGCTTGCAATGATTTGATATATATACAGATATGACCTACGCCCTCACGCTTGTTATCTTCAATGGAGCTGCAAAGATGCAGATAAGGATAGAATGTGGCCAAAGACAGGAACAGAGCAGTTAATCACAACTGATACAGAGAACATGAAAAAATGTAGGAAGATCACCAAAAGGGTCAACTAAAGACTATTTCAGTCTGAACAGCAATATTCCCATTGACTTCAGGACATCCAAAGTAAGGTGTACACTGAAGTGATGCTGTCCTTCACATGGTGATAAAAAATGTTATATGTTTGGTTTAATACACTGGTACAGCATCTGGACCACATATTAAGTGCTGGATGATGGATGAATGGGTAGGTAGAAAGGTAGACCCCCTTTATTGTTTGATCTGGGTTGGGACCTGCAACTTTTAGAGTTAAAAGGTTCTGAAAAGTCATTGTAACCAATTATTTGAGGGACAGTTAGAAACTAACAGTTCTGGCAGGAGATATGCCTATTTATTTTAAGCATCTGCCCATTAAAAATAAAAGAACAGAAAAAAAAGCCCACGTCTGAGGCACAAAGATGACATCACAATACATTTCTTAATTCACAAATGACTGCACCTTTCCAAAAATATTAAAATGGAAATATTGGATTGATTTAATCACCCATACAAACAAAACAGTATAATGAAGATACTTATTGCCAAACTGGTTTCTTGGGACCTTTTCCATGTAAATAATACATATCAAACCTTGAAGTTCAGGGTAGATATGATCTGACATACAAGCCAAGTTTTTCTTTTTCCTTTGATCCAATGCCAAAAATATATCCAAGGTAAAATTGTGTTTAATGATTTTCCATTTCAATTTTAAAATTTGGATATTCATCATATGGAAACTTGCCTATAGTACTTAAAAGATCAGTCTAGCTACACTGACTCACCGCCCTAAACAAAATGATCTCCTAACATTTGCAAAAAAATGGAAACATGCATGCAAGTGTCTGCGGCATGCTCTCTGATGAGATTCCCCATTATCTCACGGGGGTTAGCAGTGTGTTTTGTACACACCCATTCAGAATCAGCAAATATTTCTAGCACTGGTTTTCCTCTTTCAGATGTAAGTATTCATACCTAGAGGTCTGAGGAAAATAAAATGAACCGGCCTTTGTTTTCTAAATGGGGTCCCAACTTCACCACATGCTGCCTTGCCTGTCTGCAAATAGCCAGGATACACTCTGTGAACTGCAGTGAATTGTCTTGGAAGAAAAGCTCTGAGCGTGTTAGTCTTATTTTGATCTGCAGACTCATTTGGTATTTGCTGTATATTAAAGCTTCAGTGTTATTTTTATTTTTTACTTTTAAGTGGAAAAAATAGCTCTTTCTTTAGACCCATGTCTCGATCTAAGAACAGGTTAAAGATTCTGCTATGCAAAAATCTACATGAATAAAGGGAAATATGCTTAATTAATATTTTTATAATTAGGTACCTTGAAGTAAATTTAGGCGCCTAGCTTTAGGCATCCTCTTCTGAATAATACCAAATCCCATATATTTTTTTTAACTTCCATAGATTGGTAACTAGTAGATTTAGGGATACAGCTGGACTCCTTTCTCCATTCGCTTGAATGTGTGGATCAAGGTTAATGAAAATAAGATGGATCTTTTATTTTGGGTCTTAAATATAATATTATTAAATGTGCCCACCAGAAACGTAGGCTAAAATATTTGCTCTGCTTGAAGATTATGTGATATTTGTATTCTAAGCCTCACCACAGTGGGTTTCTTTAAATAGAAGCTATACTTTACTCTTAAATTGCTTAAGGCAAAGGAAGCAGAGATGATGTTTTTATGAATGTTTAAATGCAAATGGCACGGAGAGTGAATGCTATGCTAGCTAACATCAAAGGCTCACCAAAGTCTCTGCATTAATGAGGCTCTTTGTTTCCTGGATCACAGATTACAACAGGTTTCCAACTCATTGCCAAGGTTTTATCTCCATTTGGGAGGGCTGTAAATCTCAGACGATTTTTTTTTTTTCACATGCAAAACAAGAGGCTCATCTGAAAGGAAAAAAAACTCAAAGTAGCAAATATTTCATTCAAATTATTATTCCTCCAACTGCTCCTTGCTTGCTATTTAAAATAATAATAATAATAATAATTTATCGGAAAGAAAAGGCATTTATTTGCAAGCGGATTCCCCTTGCCGGGGGCAGGGAGCGAGGAGCAGCATCCTCCCCGGACCCGGCTGGTGGGGGCCAGCGGCTGCCGACGGGCACCCTTGGGTCACGTTTCAAGAACAAGAAACGAAGTAAGGAGCCCGGCCCGGCCCGGCCCCTCGCCCTTCTCACCCCGACAAAGGGCTCCGCCACGTGCCAGGGCCCGGCCCCGCGTCTGCTCCCGCCGCCTCCTTTACCCCGAGCCCCGGCAGTGTGTGCGTGTGTGTGTAAGAGCCTACAACCCCCCAGCCCCTCCCCCGAGCCTTGTGTGCGTGTGCGTGTGCAAGAGCCACACAGCCCAGCCCCTCCGAGCCGTGTGCATGGGTGTAAGAACCACACAACCCTCCCAGCCCCTTCCCCGAGCTCTCTGCGTGTGCATATGCGTGTGCACGTGTGTGTAAGTCACACAACCCTCCAGCCCCTCCCTCGAGCTGTGTGTGTGCATGTGTGTGTGCATGTGTAAGAGCCTACAACCCCCCAGCCCGTCTCTCGAGCTGTGTGTGTGCATGTGTGTGTGCATGTAAGAGCCTACAACCCCCCAGCCCCTCCTCCGAGCTGTGTGTGCATGTGTAAGAGTCACACAACCCCCAGCTCTTCCTCCGAGCAGTGTGTGCGCGTGTGCGTGTGCATGTAAGAATC